GTTGTTCCAGGGATCCGCTGTAACCACTCTTCTAGCTTTGGGGTCACCGATCACCACGGGCACTACTGTATGTCACCTATGTCACCTTTATATATATATACATATATATATATAAATATATATATATATGAATAATGTAAAAAATATATTATTTGATTTATCCTTTGATTTGATATTATTATTATTTGGACCTGAACAAGGGTATGTTTGTGGGTGGGGGGTGGGGGGCCTGCAGGGGGATTTGACATACTACTCTACAATTTATCATGTTGTTGTTCAAGATTTAAATCCAAATCCTTGGACAAATGTGGAGTTAGCTAACCCATTTATTGAGAATGAGGAGTCACGTGATAATTTGGGCGGGGTCTAATCCGGTCGGCCATGTTGATAGGATCCTCTATCGGTTGCCAGGGGCAACGCCACTAACGCTCAATATATACAGTCTATGCTAACGCTCCAGAGGTCTTTAACTTAAGCGCGTTTATTATTTCGGCAGTAGATACATCTACGATTACAACACTAGCAAGACAGTTAATGGAGAAAGTGAAGGCGAAAGGAAATGGACCGTACAGGGAAAAGCTTCTACCTACGGCAAAACAACGTTATTTGGAGAAGCTCTCAGACATACAACAGGTAGACCCATACGAGCTTCCTGCAGCGGAGTACGTGCACGTACATGGATATAGTGAATTACCTTGTTTTCGGTGTTAGTTATTATACAATGCAGGAGTTTAGAAGTCACAAGTCACTGGAGAGTTACGAGGACTTGGCCATCTACAAGCCTCCAGGCGGTGAAAACACCGTTGTACTTGCACTAACAGCAGTATTACTATTTTATTATGTTGTCCATCTTTTCATGCTGAAATATTTATACGTTGACACCACACGTTCTTTTCTTAAGCTGAATAGTGGCACTATTCGGCTTAAGAAAAGAACGTGTGCATTCAAAGTATAAATATTTCCAGCATGTAAACATAAACAACATAATAATGAAATACTATAATTAGTGCAAAAGAACAAAAAACATACAAAAAAAACCCCAATTTTTTATTGTTTGGATGTTGTTTGTTCTTTTGCACTAATAACAGTATTATTATTACTTATGTTGTTTATGTTTACATGCTGGAAATATTTATACTTTTAATGCACACGTTCTTTTCCTGAGCCAAATTGTGTTTTTTTGTTGGTATGTTTGGTTCTTTTGCACTATCAGCAGTGTTACTATTTTATTATTATGTTGTCCGTCTTTTCATGCTGAAATATTTATACGTTGACTGCACACGTTCTTTTGCACTGTTAACTTTTCCAAGAGATTACACCCCCCCTCCAAAAAAATGTTAATTTCTCAATAAATATTGCTTTGCCACATGAAGTTGTTTCAAACATTTATTTCGAAGAAATTAAAAAGGCAAGGCAAGTTTATTTGTACAGCACAATTCATGTTACAAAACAATTCAAAGTACTTTAAATAAAAAAATAAGAAGCATTACAGCTGGGTGCAGAAGAAGCATTAAAAAGTAACAGAATAAAAAGCATGATTTAAAATTAAAAACAAAAATTCATAAGAAAAAGATAACAGACAAGTAATTCCAGCTCAAAAGAAGCCGTGCAGATTTGTACATTAGAATAAAAAATATTCAAAAGCAGCTGAGAACAGGTGGGTCTTTAACCTGGATGTAAACAAACTGAGTGTTTCAGCTGATCTGAGGCTTTCTGGGAGTTTGTTCCAGACATGTGGAGCATAGAAGCTGAATGCAGCTTCTCCGTGTCTGGTTCTGACTCTGGACTCGGATCCAGATGACATGAGTGGTTCTGGTTGGTTCATAAGTTATGGACAAGGCACTCAAACAACACTTTTGCACATGTTCGTTAAGGCACAGCAAACAGTGACAATCTTATCTAAAGGCATTAGGTTTTCACCCTCACATTTAAACAGATGGCTGAGGTGCTGGATAGGAAGGTCTAAACTGAGGCGCATTAGAGTCAATAGGACAAGCTGGAAGGGTGAGAGCTTCCTCATCCTTCCTTGAGGCAGCTGCTGGGCTTGGGCTGGCGATGGGGTCTGCTGGGCTTGGGCTGGCGATGGAGGCTGCTGGGCTTGGGCTGGCGATGGGAGCTGCTGGGCTTGGGCTGGCGATGGGAGCTGCTGGGCTTGGGCCGGCGATGGGGGCTGCTGGGCTTGGGCCGGCGATGGAGGCTGCTGGGCTTGGGCTGGCGATGGAGGCTGCTGGGCTTGGGCTGGCGATGGGGTCTGCTGGGCTTGGGCTGGCGATGGAGGCTGCTGGGCTTGGGCTGGCGATGGAGGCTGCTGGGCTTGGGCTGGCGATGGGAGCTGCTGGGCTTGGGCCGGCGATGGGGGCTGCTGGGCTTGGGCCGGCGATGGAGGCTGCTGGGCTTGGGCTGGCGATGGAGGCTGCTGGGCTTGGGCTGGCAATGGAGGCTGCTGGGCTTGGGCTGGTGATGGAGGCTGCTGGGCTTGGGCTGGTGATGGAGGCTGCTGGGCTTGGGCTGGGAGTGATGGCTGCTCCAGATGCTGGGTCCTGCGCTTTACTTGCCGCTGATATCGCGCTCCATCTGTTTCTTTAACATTATTGTGGCCTAACCGCAAGGATGGTGTCCAGTCAGGGTGATTCTCCAACATCTCATATGATGGTTTACCTAGAACAGAATAATCTATGTAGTTAATGCTTTAAACTGGCAACAAGGTAGCATAATGTCATGAACAGAATCTCAACTATTTCTAGCAATCTCATAATCTCATATAATGGTTTACTTACATCAGATTAATAAGATTATTAAACAATCTGGAATCTAAAGAAATATTAAACAAGAAGGTAACGCTATTCATGGTTTCATAAAAGGGCTCAGGGGGTAGTGGCAACACAAGACAAAAAAAAAGTTTGGGCACCACTGGTTTAGAGAACATAAGAGACAGAGACAAACGCACTTTGAGTGCCCATATTCCACCAACAAGGTAGGATAATGAGCAGAAACTTAAATATTCTTAGTTAACATTAATGGTTGGCCATTAAGCATTTTCATAGAGGCAACAGTTTGTTAGATAGTTAGCTAGGCAGCTAACTTAAGATGCACTTCAGTGTTTGCAACATTAACAGCTAGGTAACCTACACTTCTTAACTTTAAAAAAACAACATAAAGACATTTTAGGACGTACCCGAGTGAAAATGCAGAGAACACACTCTCATCGACTGGGGGTGAGATCGAAAGTAAGGTCCTTTCTTCTTATTGCAGCCAACCAAGCCATCCGGCGTCTCTTCGTCAGGTCAGACACTTGCGCTCCCTGATGTTGTATCCATTTTGGTAGCCTAAAAAAATGTAAACCGTTGTTCCTACGTTTTCCTTTCTTATTGTGTGAGGTACTGGAGCAGTTTTTAACACAGCACTGAGCTCCAGGCATGGTAAAACAGAAATAGCGATGACCTCCTTTGCTACTGAGTTAAAGAGCGACTAAACACCAAATCAACTTTTTTCAACTCGTAAACTCCATAAATATATTTATTGTAGTGCTCTCTACATATCCTAGTCATTTTTTTGACATTTTAGTTCAAATTAGATAAAATATCACTTTTGAGCCAAAAAACGTCTGTGTGGCGCCCTCTCAACCTTTTTGGTGGTACTACATTTTAATTTGGTCCTGGCCTCTCCATTGACTCTGAAGTTCTCTATGGCCCAGTCCCAATACCCACACTGCACCCTACGCCCTCCTATGAAGTGTGCATTTGTTTGAAGTGCGCGCAAGGGTTTGAGTGCGCAGGTTGCAAGTGTGCACAAAAGGCGGAATTGGGACAGTGCACACTGAGTGCAGGTTACGTCATCGACTCGTCAAGAGATGGTCATTTTCAGACCTAAACTTTGTCTGACCCTTTGGGAAACAAATTGAATTGCTTCACACATGTTAAAATACATGTATATTAATGGTTTCTAATTAGAGATAGCTGTATAATTTTAAGTTAAATGTGGGTAACTAACTATCTGGTCAGTTTTTATACATTCTAAGATTATTGTACTAAGTGTAAAGTTTAAATTGAATGTTATATGAACTCTTGCTTTAAAAAGTTATTAAATTGTTAAAACACAATGTCCGTAATTCTTCATCAGACGTTTATGCTTCTTTCCAAGTAACATAGCAAAACTTATTTACACACATACTGCATATATATTTCAAAATGTATATTTAAATGCATTTTCCCGACGTTTTGGTGTGTACCGCAAAGAATTATGGGCAATATCCTTCGCCAGAGTGCGCATAGATGCAGGCTACGGCAAAGTGTGGATCAGGGGCGCAAAGGGGGCGGGGCCAAAGACCTCCCTGGAGAATTGGGACACCCTACGCACTCGCACCCTTTATCGGGAACGCGCAAATGAGGGGCGCAAGGGTGGAAGTGCGAGTATTGGGACGGGGCCTATGACATCAGTTGTTTTGTGTGACGTCAGTCTGTCAGAGCCAGTGATATAAACCCATCCAACTCTCACACACGCCCCATCTGCAGGTTGGAGTATTCTGGCGCCATCTAGTGGATTAAAATTAAATTACATGAGTGATTCTGAGATTATTGAGTGTGATTAGGTTCAGGTGTGTAGCTTTACAATTATCTTAGTGTGTAATCAAGGGTGGAATGAGACTTTCTGGTCTGTAAACTATTGCTTTAAGCAGCAATGACAACTGCCTGTTTTTTTTTGTGTGATAAGTGAGCTGTCAATCACAGCCCAGACCACGCCCAACTCTAAGCCCCCCTTCTTGTCCCTTGGTCCTCCAGGCAACGCCCTTTTAAGAGAACATTTTCAAATCTTCATGTGGGCGGAGTCAGGCTGGGCACAGGTGTTTAGTCGCTAACGGTTTGCCGCTGGGTTCCTACCATCATGGCGGAGACGGGGAGGGTCCCGCGCTATCGAGGGGAGGGGCTCTGTGCTATGACGACAACTCCTCACTCTCAATAGGTAAAGGAGTTTTACAAGCCAATGTTTTTATTACGACTGTGATGTGGCACTACTCTGTTGTAAAAGCCACAGAGGGAGGAGCAGAGGTTTTTTGGGAGGAGCTCATTTCCTGCTGCTCTAAAAAAAAAAAACCAAATCCCTTCACCTTCTGTGTTCAGAGAGTAAGAAGAGACGCAGCCAGAGCCACACCGAGGAGACTATTGTCATTCAAAACCTGCGGCTGATCTGCACCGGGTCCGATGAACAAACCATGTGAGATTTCCCCATGAGGCGGTAGAGAGAGAGCTTCAGGTGAGCGGGCATTTGTTGTTCTTTGTGAAGTTTTTAGAGCTAGTTGAGATGTTTCTATAGATTCTTATGTCTGTGAATGTTGTGTGCTGCTTGCCTTCTCCTGTGTGTACGCTGCAACAGTGAACTTTCCCCTCTGTGCGACTAATACAGGTTCATGTATCTTCAATCAATCAACTTTTATGTGTAGAGTACCTGTGCTATACAGAAGGCAACACAAAGCACCACAACCCAGGTCACATCAAGCAAATCTGTCTCTCTCTCTCTCTGTCTCTGTTTATGTCTCTATCTTTCTCTGTCCTGTTTCTCTCTCTCTCTCTATCTGTCAGCGTCTCTCTCTGTGTTTCTGTCTCTCTCTCTGTCTCTGTCTCTCTCTGTGTTTCTGTCTCTCTCTCTGTCTCTGTCTCTCTCTGTGTTTCTGTCTCTCTCTCTGTCTCTGTCTCTCTCTGTGTTTCTGTCTCTCTCTCTGTCTGTCTCTCTGTGTTTCTGTCTCTCTCTCTGTCTGTCTCTCTGTGTTTCTGTCTCTCTCTGTCTCTGTCTCTCTCTGTGTTTCTGTCTCTCTCTCTGTCTCTGTCTGTCTCTCTGTGTTTCTGTCTCTCTCTCTGTCTCTGTCTCTCTCTGTGTTTCTGTCTCTCTCTCTGTCTCTGTCTCTCTCTGTGTTTCTGTCTCTCTCTCTGTCTCTGTCTCTCTCTGTGTTTCTGTCTCTCTCTCTGTCTCTGTCTCTCTCTGTGTTTCTGTCTCTCTCTCTGTCTGTCTCTCTGTGTTTCTGTCTCTCTGTGTTTCTGTCTCTCTCTCTGTCTGTCTCTCTGTGTTTCTGTCTCTCTCTCTGTCTCTGTCTCTCTCTGTGTTTCTGTCTCTCTCTCTGTCTGTCTCTCTGTGTTTATGTCTCTCTGTCTGTCTCTCTCTGTGTTTATGTCTCTCTCTCTGTCTCTCTCTGTGTTTATGTCTCTGTCTCTGTCTCTCTCTGTGTTTATGTCTCTCTCTCTGTCTCTGTGTTTCTGTCTCTCTCTCTGTCTCTGTCTCTCTCTGTGTTTATGTCTCTCTCTGTCTCTGTCTCTCTGTGTTTGTCTCTCTCTCTGTCTCTCTCTGTGTTTATGTCTCTCTCTCTGTCTCTCTCTGTGTTTATGTCTCTCTCTCTGTCTCTGTGTTTATGTCTCTCTCTCTGTCTCTGTCTTTCTCTGTGTTTATGTCTCTCTCTCTCTCTGTCTCTCTCTGTGTTTATGTCTCTCTCTCTGTCTCTGTCTCTCTGTGTTTGTCTGTCTCTGTCTCTCTCTGTGTTTATGTCTCTCTCTCTGTCTCTGTCTCTCTCTGTTTCTCTCTCTCTCTCTGTCTCTGTCTCTCTCTGTGTTTATGTCTCTCTCTCTGTCTCTGTCTCTCTCTGTGTTTATGTCTCTCTCTCTGTCTCTGTCTCTCTCTGTTTCTCTCTCTCTCTCTGTCTCTGTCTCTCTCTGTGTTTATGTCTCTCTCTGTCTCTGTCTCTCTCTGTGTTTATGTCTCTCTCTCTGTCTCTCTCTGTTCTCTCTCTCTCTCTCTGTCTCTGTCTCTCTCTGTGTTTATGTCTCTCTCTCTGTCTCTGTCTCTCTCTGTGTTTATGTCTCTCTCTCTGTCTCTGTCACTGTCACTCTCCCTGTTTCTCTCTCTCTCTCTCTGTCACACTCCTGGAGGCAGAGGTGTGTCAAAAAGAGATTCGTGTGTAAAACGGAGCCTGTGCGTAGCCCTTAGGCTTTTTTCCGTTCTTCTCTTCGTACAACGTGGTTATTTACACACAGATTGTTCTGCTACAGATACAAATGTCAAATTACACACACACAAATCTGTTTACGCACACACACAGTCCAAGTTACACTTGCGATTCTGCGAAGGCAGGACTGCGTCAAAAGATTTGTGTGTAAAAAAAAAAAACTTGAGTGTAAAATGTCCTTTTTTTTTTTTTTTTTACACACACAAATCTTTTTACGCACACACGAATCTTGATGCATACATACAAATCTATTTACACACGCACACATATTTCTTTTACACACACATACATCTGGTTACGCACGCACAAATCTTTTTACGTACACACAAGTATTAATGAAACAATAATAGCTCCATACAAATGATCGCTTTCTTCAAGGTGAGAATGTTAAATGGTTTGAATCTACACATTACAGTAAAAATACGATTAGAAAAAAACAAACATTAAGATCACAATAAATATTAAAAACATAGAGAATAAAACATCACACACAGGATTAAAATCAACAGCCGCAGTGCATTAAAAAGAGAAAAAATAAAAGCTGTTTTTATCTTAACTGATTTTAACCTGGATTTGAGTAGAAGCCTGTCTCACGTTTTCAGGAAGACTGCTCCAGATTTTAGCTGCATGGATCTGAAACGCTGCCTCCTCATGTGTAGTCCTGACTCTGGCACCAGCAGGAGGAGCCTACTTCCTTATTGTGCGTCTTCATTATGCAAACTATGGATATTTTATTTACATTTGCTTCTTTATGAGGCTAAAGCAGTGATGTCAGAGTCGGACTCAACTAAAACTGATTTGCTTCAAGCCGAGGCCGAACTGGTTCAGTGGCATTGCCCGGCGGTAAGGAAGGGGGGATACTTTAATTGTATGGCGCTAACATATATCTGGCATGTGTGTGTATGTGTGTGTGAGTTTGTGTGTGTGTGTGTGTTTTGTCTGTCTTACACCATCTGTGGTAGTGTCCTGTGTACTTTAGGACACACACACACACACACACAAATATAAAACCTTATTCAAACCCACCCCTCGTTGCTCCCAGGCACAACTGTACATTTATCAAAAGCAATTTACCAACTTTAAGTCCAGGGATGGTGTCATTATGAATGTTTCTCAATCAGGTCAGATTTGTGAACTTAGATCCACACCCACAGAATGTTTGAGCTCCAATTATCACTTTTGTCTCCGAGGGTTGGACCTGTAAATGCTTGTCTCCTGACTCTGCAATATTCAAGCTTAAAACTTGGCTTAAGGGCAGCTAGAAAATACAGTCAGAAAAAGAAAATGCAGTTGGAAAAAGAGCAGAATTGTTGATTCGCGCAGACACTGATACGAGGCTGAGATCCACAAAACATTCAGATTTAAACCTTAAATTCAGAAACACAATTGGGAAGAAATGTTGCTCCAAGATTTTAGTTTTTTTGCTCAGTGCGAATGAGCCTAAAGCAGGGGGGCCCAAACTTTTTAGCAAGAAGACCACTTTAGTTCCTCAGAGTTGAGCCATGTTTCATTATTATTCGTTGTGTCCATACCCACATGCGAAAGCCAGATCAGCTGAAGTTAAGTAGGGCAGGGCCTGGTTTGTATTGTGATGGGAGACCTCTGGGAACACAAGCCACAGTGGGGCGGCTGCGGCTGTAAAGTGCCAAACTGCTGTTGTGTCCTTAGGCAAGACACTTCACCCACATTGACTATAATGAGTTTGGTGTGTGTGAGTGAGTGTTTGGGTGGTGGTGGCAGTGTGGCCCAGGGCAGCTGTGGCTACAATAGTAGTTTATCACCACTGTGTATGGAGAGAATGAAGATAGAAATATTGTCCAGAAAAGCGCTATATAAAACCAGTGTATTAAATTCAGAGCTGAAGTTGGCTGAATGACAAATGTTACCATCTCACCAGTTGCAGTCATGCTATCTACACCATTTTGTGACTCAAAAATAAATGTCAGTAAAATCAAAGTTTTTATACACAAATACAGTGGATTTTGGCACAAGGGGGAAAGATGTTGTTTTGACTTTCAATGACACTATCAATAACAGAGCGTAAAAAAGGACTCGTTTTTTTTTCCCATATTGACTGAAAAAGAGACCAGTGACATTTTTTTTTTCTATTGGACCTCAGTTTTACAAACAGAAAAGACATTTATTCCCCAGGATGTGAGGCGTAGAGTAATGCGGCGCGGACTCAGGACAGCGGCCTCACATGTTCCTCACAACATCTGTCACTCCCCAAGGGCAGGCCTGGCTCACTTTTGTTTTGTTCTAAAAATGTGCAGACTCTGTCCACAGTTAAAAAACCTCAAATTAAATATTCATTACAAGACAAGAGACACGAGCAATGAATAATGAAGTTTATAGGTTTTGAATCTCTCGCCCCAAAAACCTCGGGTCACTTCTTGCTTACACACTGAGGCTCGAGGGTCAGAACCACTCTGCATTTAACCCGCCTCCCGACCTAGTCCTGTTACAGATTCTAGACTAATGTAGTGGAAATTATAAAAGCAATAATAAACCTGTTTCGAGGCTGTTGTGGGTGAAACAGGTCATCGAACTACACACACGTCACATGAGGGACAAACAAGAGTTTAGCTCTTTAGAAGACGGAAGTTTCATTTGATCTAAATATTTTCACTTAATTTGATTTTGATTCCATTTATTTGTGTATAGCCCTATATCATAACGGCAGGATCCAGGGCTGAGGCTGTAGATCCAGGACTAGAGGCTGTAGATCCAGGACTAGAGGCTGTAGATCCAGGACTAGAGGCTGTAGATCCAGGACTAGAGGCTGTAGATCCAGGACTAGAGGCTGTAGATCCAGGACTAGAGGCTGTAGATCCAGGACTAGAGGCTGTAGATCCAGGACTGAGGCTGTAGATCCAGGACTGAGGCTGTAGATCCAAGGCTAGAGGCTGTAGATCCAAGACTGGCTGTAGATCCAGGACTGAGGCTGTAGATCCAGGACTGAGGCTGTAGATCCAGGACTGAGGCTGTAGATCTAGGACTGAGGCTGTAGATCCAAGGCTAGAGGCTGTAGATCCAAGACTGAGGCTGTAGATCCAGGACTGAGGCTGTAGATCCAGGACTGAGGCTGTAGATCCAGGACTGAGGCTGTAGATCCAGGACTGAGGCTGTAGATCCAGGACTGAGGCTGTAGATCCAGGACTGAGGCTGTAGATCCAGGACTGAGGCTGTAGATCCAAGGCTAGAGGCTGTAGATCCAGGACTGAGGCTGTAGATCCAGGACTGAGGCTGTAGATCCAGGACT